ATTTAGTATGGGATCTACAGGGTCTCACTGCATGGATCAGATTCACAGTGATTCTCCTGTTTTCAGCTTCCTAAACCCTGGGATTACAGGCATACGCCACCATGCCCAGTCTCAATGGCCTCTCCATACAACCTGAGTATGGGGCCCACACGGCATGCCGGAAATCAAACCCGGCCACTGCACTCTGCCTAAGCAGGTGTTGTAGTCCGCTGAACTATATCTGGCTGGCCCCGCAGGCTCATCCCTAAACAGGGTAAAAAAGCTTCTTCAATGCTGTGTGTATAAATTCTCTGCATTTACAAAACAGCCAATGTTTTGTAACAGTATAGAAGAAAATGTTTAAATGGGAAGGTACTGGGGGGAAGGAAGGGGAAAAAGAAAAAATGAAAAACTGGACATGAAACTTTTGTAAATATGGTGAGGAAGGAATTGAAGGGAAGGGGGAATGAGTGGGAAAAAAGAACCAAAATTTTTCATGTACAGATACAAATTCCCTATGATGAATGTGACCACATACCCTTAAAATGCACCAATAAATTTAATTTTTAAAAAGCTCATAATTTCTCACTAGTGTAGTCTCAGCAGGAAAATTTTACTTTCATCTTTGATGACACTGGGGGTTGAATCCAGAGCTTGTGCAATGGGTTACACCCCCAGCCCTTTTTTGTTTTTGTGTTGAGACTAGTTACCCTCTATGCTTGAATTTACAATCTTTCAAGTCAAGTGGATTACAAGCACATGCCACCAGGCCCAGGAAGGGGAAAAATTTAAGCACAAAATCAAAATCCAATTCTGAGCAGAGAGAATGGCACACCCAAGCATCTCCTTCATGAGTTTTTTCACCCTGAAATGTCCAGTTAGTGGCACATTCCTGTAATCTTGGCTATCCAGGAGACTAAAGCAGGCAGTACACAAGTTCAAGCCCAGCCTGGGCAGTTAATTGAGCAAGACCCTTCTCAAAACCCCTTAAAAAGGCTGGTAACATCATGGGAAGCTGTGGCAGGAGAACCACCTGGAGCTCAAGCCAGCCTGGGCTACACAGTGAGACCCTGTGTGGCTGACAGGAAGGACCCCAGGGCTGCTGTTATAAAACTGTTTGCTATTTGGGCTCTTTGACCAGCTGAGCCCACCAAGCAACAGTCCTGGGTTCCAGGGTTGTCCTGCTTGCTCAGAAAGGTAAAGGCAAGCACTAAGATAACCTCCAAGTAAGGCGGGCGCAGGGGGCACAACTATCCCGAAAGAGGACCTCTCAAGATGAGCAACACCCACAGGGGATATAGCTCAGTGGCACAGCACCTGCCTGATGAGGTGTGAGGAGTCCCAGTACCAAAAAAGTAAG